GCAAGACTGAGCTCAAGGAACTGAACAGAATCCAGGAAATGATCTATAAGCCGTCTTCAGACGACATCCTGGCTGAAAACACGAGTTCCTAGACTTTCATTCAAACTCCAGACGGAAAGATACGTCATATTCACGCTATGGACAGCGATATCTTGCTACGCAAGACCTTTGCTGATTTTGCGCACCAAGAACGCGCCGAAGGCTTAGTTACAACTCGAAGTCAGGCCAAGACCAAGAAGAAAAGAGTGCACTTCGAGGACAAAGTTCCTGAAGGAACGACCAATGCTGAGACAACTGAGGCAGTCAACGAGGACTCGGACACGCAAGTGCAACGTCCAAATGCTGAGGTCCGACATGAACTAACAGCCGATGACATTGATCCGGTTACAGTCCAAGAAGAGCAAAGGCACCGTATCGCCAAGGCCCAGGACGAGGAGCTGAGGTGGTCGAACCTGAATGCCGTCCTGAGAGGAGAAACCACAGCGATGACTTACAAAGAGGCCCGAGAAGCCCGGAAGTGGGCGGACAACTTCGTGCTGTCAAGTGATAACGTCCTGTATTACACGGGTGTGAGCAGAAGAAAGGTCGACGAAAATCAGCCCGAGATGTCGTTGAGGCTCGTGGTGCCAACCGCAATGATCCAAGAAGTGCTACACAATTGTCATAACTCCATCGAAGGAGGGCACCAAGGTGTCGTTCGCTCTTATGAAAGAGTGAAACACGACTACTACTGGATCGGTCTCTACGCAGATGTGGAGAAACATGTGAAATCATGTCTCGACTGCAGCTCGAGTAAGAGCTTGCCGCAGCCCAAATGCTACTCACCTGGCAATGTGCTCGCAGAGCGACCATTCTATGTGGCATCAATGGACTTTGTGATCCCTCTGCCTAGATCTCGTCGAGGGAACACTGCCCTATTGCTATGGCAGTGCTCCTTTACGGGGTTTGTGATCGCTAAAGCGATGTCGGATACCGATGCCCTGACTGTGGCCAAGGTGTGCGAGGAATGCATCTACAGGCGATTTGGTGCTCCGTCTCTTATTCGACATGACCGAGACCCACGCTTCATGAGCGAGGTCTTCCAGGCCTTCGCTGAGTTGATCCAAGCAAGGTCAAGGTCAACATTGAGCTATCGCCCGCAGGCGAATGGGCGTCGGTCAAGACCGTGATACAGTCTGTCAAGGTCTATGTGGAAGACTCGTTGCAGCAAGACTGGGATGAGATCGCTGAGCAACTAGTCTTTGCGATCAACAACTCCCATATGACCAGGAAAGAGTCACCTTTCTATTTGGTCCATGGATGGGATGCCCATACGACGCTACGAGCAATGGCTACCTCCATGAAGCGAGGTATCGGTAAGCAGACTGAGGCACTAGCCTGTCGGCGAGAGATTAACCGCCAGCAGCAGATCACTCTCAAAATGGCTAAAGAATACCAAGCGGTGGAGAAGGCCCGACGTGCAAGAATTCACAACGAGAAGCTCAGTCGCAAAGAGCAAGCCGCAGTACCAAAAAGTGTGAACGATGACTCTCCCGCCGATGACTCGCCCAACAATGACTCGGAACCGAAGTCTCTATTTCGACCTGGAAGCCGTGTATGGCTGCATATGGAGCGGGTGAAGCCAGGATTAGTTACGAAGCTGGCTCACCGATGGCATGGTCCTTTCAGAGTAAAGCGAAAGGTCGAGGAGTTCGCGTACGAGCTCGATTTACCTGTGACGTAGCGCTTGGAACTTTTGGTTCCGAGCTCGAACGCAAGCGGTGGTTGTGACACACCAGTTGGATCAGAGTTAGAATGTAGGAACAAAGTTCCCTGTGGATAGACGGCTCCTCTCGAACGGGGGATTTATCCGGGGGCCGTGAGCTCGGAGAAATTACTATGGGCTAGTAAGACTCCGGAACTCGGTCAATAACCTCACCTAGTGTACCCCCTTCGAAACGGTTGTTTGGACCAGGGAAAAGTCCACCACTGAGAACTTCCAGGAAGGTCCCGACTTTATAGAGTAGGCCAGATAGGTAGTTAAACACACAATCGTCCAGGGACACTACCTGAGTCCGGGACGGGATTAATACGCAACTTAAGTATACACTCTGTGTCTTTCGGAGAGAGACTCTACCGGCGACAGCCGTCAGCAATGGGCGAGACCCTTAGAATATGAAGTGGTTGCTCCGTGCCGGCTAGACCGCGCTCCGGGATGGACATATATGGAATGCCTGGTGTTACCTTGCGAACACCCGGCAAATGTGATATAGGTTTACCTTGGGGGACAGTCTCCGAACACGGGTCCCCGAACCGTGTGTCTTCCTGCAGTCTTGTGGGGCTTGGGATTCCGAGGAATCGAGCTCTGCGCGCTTGGAGGGAAAAGTGAGACTTAATTTAGTGTCGGCTGCCGGTATGCAGTCAGCGCGACACTTAAATATATGGCTATCCTGGGATCTGTTAAACTACTAGGTTTCACTATGGTCCGACTTGGGGACTCTATGGGTCGGACCTTCTGGGGTCGTATCTTCGTCAATATTGCAATTCCGGACCCGGGACCCAAAGTCTTCTCGGCTCGGGGACTCAGGGGTTCTTGAGAACCAGCGATCGGGGACCCAAAGTTGATTCCGAGGAAAATCCCCGGAGCACTATGCCACAACCACCCCATGCAGAACGACGTACGCCGAAAGCTCTCCTGAGGCGCCCAAAGTTCAGTAGCCGGGATAGTGCCTCTGAACGACGCCCCTCGCCACGCTGGCATTCCTCGGTGCGGGTCATATCGTAATTTCCCAAATTCATCAGCTCCACGACTTCGAGACTCGGGGACAACTTTACCCGTACTGGTATTCCTCGGTTGCCGACTTCAGCAACCAGTACTCGTCAGCTTCTTTACGGGAGGGGTCCGGAAAATACTGGTATTCCTCGGTCACGGTTGCGTAACCGGTACTCGTCAGTTCTCGCTGCTGGGCCTCGAGGTCGGTACCGGTCTGGGATCGGTATCCGTCAATCCCCGAGTTGTACTTCGGCATTGCCCCTTGCGACACACTTCCCAAGTCTCCTCACTGACTCGGGTCGGCACACTTCGTAATTTTCCGTCAACTGCTCAAGCGCTTTCGTCATGACTCAAACCCTAGACCCCGACTCCTTCTGCTTCTGGGACTCCGGTCGACCGGAATGACACGCCTCCGCCGACGACTTCCCGAAGCCTTCTTTTGGGCTCGGCTCCCAACACCACTAATGCGCAGATGGAGGAGGCTCGCGCTTTGGTGGGGCTGGGCAACGGATCAGGAGGTATGTTGCCACCCCTCTCGGAGAACGAGCGGCGCCTCCGCGAATCTCTACTGCGGCCCCAGTACCCATTGACTGCGGGGATCTACTCCTCGGCTGTGGAAATCGTCTCTCGACGATACGCTGGGTCCGAAGTGGATGAGCGCTTAGGATTTCTGCCCTCGAGATTTTCGCTCCCCACTGGTGACGCCGCCGAAGTAGACCTGGCGACCACTCTGGGACCGGTGACGCTGGTCCCCCTTTCACTTACATCCCGGCATCTGCGGAGGACATGCGGGTGGTCGCGTCTGGAAACTCCGAGGGTTTACAGATGCGTGACATCGGGAGTTTGGTTTACGTGGCTACCCGGATCCTCTCTCTCTCGGCTGCTCCTCTCGATGCACTCTCGCGTCCGGTGGTCGGGGACGACCGCGCGGCTACGGACATCGTCGTCCCAATGCAACCCCAAGGTGCTCCTGCGGTGGTGATTTCCGGTCAGCGTGCGCGGGCGGCGGAGCTCCAAGCTGGTCCGCTTGTCGACGCGTTTGGAGCTTCGGGTTTGGGGCGTCGAGTCTTGAACACCTTGAACGCGCTCCGCCTCGCTCTGGACCAACTTGTGACGCTGGAGCCCCTTCAGAATCTCACAGCTGCTGCGGACCCAAGGAGTGATATGGCCAACGCTCTGCTGATGACGGCGCTACACCGCGCTCGGGAACAGCAGACCGAGAGTCATCGAGAATGGGAGGTCGCGCTGCGTGCAGCGGAGGCGCCCCCAACCGCGGCGCTTCGGGCTGTCGTGGCCGGACCCGGATTGCTCTAAGTTATGAGCACCAGGGTTGGGTTCAGGCTGAAGAGCGGCTTGAGAGAATGGGGATGGCCTACGCAGATTCGGAGCGGTCCCTGACCGAGACTCGCGCGGAGGAGGTGAAACTCCAAGGCTCGCTCGACTCCGTGTCAGCGGAGTGCCAAGCCTCTCGGGATGAGCGAGACATTGCTCGGAGTGAGCGGGACGAGGCCTTCGGAGAGCTGGCCGAGGCCCAGGACGAGTTAGCTGGGGCTCATGCGGAAATCGCTGCGCGGCCACCGGCTCCCCCCAGCGACGCGGTCCCGAAAGTCGAACATGACGCGGGGGTCTCCAGACTTCGGAGCTCGCTGCGCGCGTCTCAGATCGCCCTCGACACCCTTCAATGGGTGAGAGATGGCTTCCGAGCCCTATGCGACCCACAGGCTTTGGTAAGCTACTTCGTTTCGATGGGGCTGAACGGGGACGCAGCGGCCTTTCAGGAACACGTACAAGCATATTTCCAGCGCCGCACCCTTCTCCCGTACTCGGTCTCACTCTTCGTGGGAAGGAACAGTGTTCCTATTTCCGTTCCCGTGCTGCCTGCGTCCGGGGGTGGTCCGGGGTCTACAAGCGGAGGTGGTTCTGGGAGTGGCTCTGCCAGCACTGGGACACCGTGTTCGGCTCCTGCGCCTTCGGGCTCAGGGTCCATCCCTTCGTCCCACACCGGCGGTTCAGCCCCCGGCCTGACTCCTTCATCGTCTGGGGCTGCGGGGTCTGGGGGCTGCGGGGTCTGGGGCTCTGGTGTCTCGCTGTCTGGCACGGCTGAGACGGGAAAGACTCCTGTTCCTCCGCCTCCACCTCCTGCGGTGCCGGGACAGTCTTCTACACCCCAGAACGCCCCGACTAAGACTCCGAAGCACATTCGTTTCGAGGACCTCCCTGGCGACGACGTTGATGTTCCTAACGGTCCTCCCCAAGACGCTCCCCAAGACGATTATGAAATGGGTGGCTGGGACGTCGAAGAGGAAGACAACCAAGACGAGGGCCTTGTGGGCGGGGACGACGACAACGATGTCGAAATTCTTTCTGAGGGTGGCTCCCAACCTCTCTTGCGCTTGTCCCCCGATGGTCAACGCCAGATCCGGCCCAAGGTGTACACTCCTCAGACCGACCCCAAAGGACTTTTCTACCGGGCCATGGACGACGACGCCGACCCCCTCGCTCGGATGACGACCTGAGCAAGCTGCTCTCAACCGTCGCTGAGCTCTCGGACGTGCGCCTTGACGTGCTTGAGCTCTGGCGTGTGGATTCCGACAAGTGTACCCTTACCGAGGCGGAGAACGTCATCCTAGGGGAGACCGCAGAAGACATCGTGGTCCACGCGAGCCTTCGGCGTGACGTCCTTTGTGAAATCATTCGGCGCATCCTATGCCTTCGGAGCCTGGATGACGTCGTCTGGCTAAGGCACGTCCCGGAGGAGTACTTCGAGAGGGCCTACAAGCGCGCTGAGGACTGCAACTGGGTGATCGGTGTGGAGCGCCCCTAGCCACCCGTCCCTACGGAGCCTCGTGAACCTTCGGAGTCATCGGAGGATGACGACGATGCTTCCGACGCGGAAGGAGGGACTCAGCCAGCACCGAAGGCTGGAAGCTCGAAGATACGGGCTTTGGGGAGTCCAGCTCCGACTCCTCCCCCGCGCGGCAAACGGCCTCGTCGTACTGGGGGCCAAGGTCGGGGAGGTTCGGGAGCGGCCCGCCAAATGGTCCACCTCCCGGAGGTACCTTCAGACGTCTCCTCGAACGAATCCGACCTCCCGGTGCGTCATCGCAGGCTCGTTCCACCTCCAGACGCCGCCCCGACTTCAGTCACTCTGACACCGCAGACGCTATCTCGTAGTTCGTGAACGGCGTTTAGGTGCACCAAGCCATTCAGTCCGGAAAACACCAGATTCGGGGCTACCCAGCCTATGACGTGATGCCCACTTCTGTAGCGGAAGGGTAGGGTCGGTTGGTGATTTCCGATTACCTCGATCTCGTGGATGGCACTGCTCCCGGGAGGACGCCCCCTGGGACACCGTTTTCCGTGATCGCCACGTAGTATTCTGGTTCGCTTGTCGGGAGATCACTGAGGAACACCCTGCAGGGTTTAGTGACGACTTCCTGGCCGTGGCTTCGGAGCACGTGTTGGTGATGTTTCATTTCCGTCGTGCACAATGGAAGCGCGACCACTGGGTCATATTGGACCGTACGGACGAAACCCAAAAGAAACTGTACTCGGAGAGGGGCACGCGACAGAGGAGTTGGTACAAGGCTCTGTTGAAGCTGTGCGCTCAAGTGGCTCTACTCCCGGCGAGGGAGCGCAAGTGGTTTCGCTGCGAGCCCGGACTCTGGCGTCGACCACGGTTGCCAGTCACCTGGATTCCTTTGCCGCGCGGCGATAGTGCTCCTTCGCTCCGCGACCAGCTCCGGACTCTGGACCGTCGTGAGCCTGCTCGCGTTCATTGGGGTCTTCCTGGCGCGGCGTCACGCTTGTCGGAGAGTGTGTCTCCAAGTACTTGGGGGACAAGAGTTACCGAGCCCAACGCTCGCATCTTCATCCCTTTTCCTGATGCGCTGCCGGTTGAGTTGGCTCGAAGCTTCAACCTGCTGATGCGGACCCAGGGGTGAAACCGGGATTCCATACCCTCGACCTGGAGGCGGTATCGGAAATCACTAACTTTTCCCCGGATCCGGAACGGTCCGTACCAGAGGTGTGCGAGCTTCTTGGTGTGTCCGGGACGGACTCGGGCTAGGTACAACCATACTGAGTCCCCGGCCTCGAAATCTTCTTTCAGTCGGTCTGTAAGGTGCTTCCACTTGCGGTTATGGTCCTCGACCCGGCGCTTCTTAGCTTTTTCTTGGAGGTTCCGGGCCCAGGCTCTCGCGTATTCCACCTGGCGTTGTACCTTGGTGCGCCATTCTTGGGCGTCCCGGAGCTGCACGTCTCGGGAAACGTCTCCCATCATGGCTTCGACGGTACCTTGGGCGTCCCAACCATGCACCAGGTAAAACGGCGTGTCGAGTCGGGTGAAGTCGAAGGAGGTGTTCAGAGCCCACATGGGTTTGTCGGCTAGCTCGTCCCAGTCGCTTTGGTCCACAGTCTGCACATACGCCTTAACGCTCCGGATCACTGTTTGCACATACCTCTCCTGTTGTCCGTTGGGGACGATAGGCTAGAGTGGCGCGTTGCCTGCTCCCGAGCATCTCCCGAAAGTGCTTGAACACCCGAACCATGAAGCGCGGGTATCGGTCGTGACGTATCATCTCACTGGCTCCGAACCTCCGGGACACGCACTCTTCGTAGGCTTCGGATACGTCTTGGGCTTTGGTGCTCGCCATGGCCTTGCACATGATGAACCCCGAGAACGCGAACTAGAACAAGAGCAATGCTGTATTTCCCCCGGCGGACTGGGGCAGCGGTATCACGAAGTCCATGGAGACGACCTGAAACGGTCGCGTGGCCAACAGGTTACCAGGCGACGGGCCTGGGTTCCGGGGTAGTCCCTTGGCCGTGACACAGTCAACGCACTCTTTAACATACCGCTCGGTGTCCTTGAACATGCCAATCCAGTAGAATCCCTTGCGCAGTCTCTCATAAGTTCGGATTATCCCCTGATGAGCGCCTTGGAAGTCTGCGTGACAGTGATGCAGGATATCTTCCCGGAGGTTCCGGGGAACTACCAGACGGAGACGGTCTACGCCGTCTCGGGGACGTTCCGGGGTGCTCCGACTCACACAGAACAAGGCGTCCCGGGCGTCCAGTACAAACTGGTCCCCTATCTTGGCCAAGTGTGTCGTTTGTTTCAGGGACAAATGCTCAGTCTCGCCCCGGAGGAACTTTACCAAAGGCGCTAGCCCTGGGTCGTGTGCCTGGTGAGAGCAAATCCTTCTCCATCGTTCCCTGCGGGCGTCTTCGGGGTCTTCTTCGGAGTCTTGGTAGTAAGGGCTCCGGGAAGCGGCTGTCGGCTCTTCCTCCAGACCGTCGGTTCCCGACCCGTTGGTTCCCGGACAGTCGGTTCCCGACTCGTTGGTCCCGAGGTCATTGGTTCCGGGGTCGTCGGTTCCCGACTCGTCGGTCCCAGAGTCGTCGGACCCGGGGTCGTTGATCCCAGAGTCATCGGCTCCAGAGTCATCGGCCCCGTCTCCCGGGACTGACCCCTCTGTGGCCTTGACCTGTTTGGACTTCGAGCGCGTCACCGCGAACGCGTCGCCTCCTAAACCTCTTGGGGAGCACTTGGGTATGTTCCGAGCCGTGGCTAGGAACGCGCACTCCACTAGTGACTGTGATCGGGTCCTTCATCAGTTTTTCGTGAATTCGATTCAAGCCTTGGAGCAACTTGTGTTTTCCGGGTTCGTGATCTCCAATGATGACTGGTCCTGGATGACTCGCTTGGAGATGTAATCGGCAGCAGCGTTGAAATCTCTTTTCACATGCACTAGTCGTAAGGACTTGAACTTAGCTTGGAGCCCTTCAGCCTCCTTGAGTAATCTCAACAGGTGGGGTTGGGTACAGCCAATGATGCCTTGGAGCTGCTGTATTGCTAGTCGGGAATCTCCGACCACAACCAGTTCCTGGATCTTCATGTCGAGAGCGAGTTGCATACCCTTGACTAATCCGGAGTATTCGGCCTCATTCACGGTGGCTTTCTCCAGAAAGTGTCCCGCGGCCGCGACGATTTCCCAACTCGGGAGGATCCAGAGGATGCAAGCAGCTGCCCCCAACCCATCTCTCTTGGCGGCTCCGTCGAAACTCAACAGGTGCTCGATGTGGTCTCTTGAGAGCATTTCCAGACTGACTGGGGGTTTCTTGATTCGGGAACCCTTTTCAGGAACCAGGCTATCGGCGACCTCGTTGAGGCGTTCCCGGGGGGGATACCCGCTCCCAGGATCGCTGGCAAGCCATCTTCGTCATTCTCGACTCGTCGGATGTCGAGGTTCCAGGGGGACAGATTGACCGCCCACTTGAGTCATCTTCCGTCCACCGTCTTGAACAGCCATGCCAGCACCGAGTACCGGGTGTACACGCGAATTCTCTTCTTGGAACAGCTGGTAATCATCGTGTGGCATGTGTTCAGGACGCGGAGCAGTGCTATCACCTCCTTTTCGGCGGGATGGTATCGAAGCTCGGCGTCCTGGAGAACTCGCTCCACGAATCATACGAGTAATATAGTGCTGTCGTAGTCTTGCCCCAAAACCGCGCTGATGACCCAGGGGTTGGCATGCAGTATTATTACATACTGTCTCCCGGGGTCGGGGTGCTGGAGCAGTGGCGTCGACACTAGCCGGTCCTTGAGTATCTTGAACGCATGCTTGGGCTTCTCCAAATCTCGTCCGGAACGGAGTTGCTCGTCCGATGCTTCGTAGAGAGTGGCCGCGAGTACGGGTAGGTCCTCGATGAACTTGGCATAGTAATTGAGGCTCCCGAGGAAGGACTGTATTCCTTTCTGGGTCTTCGAGAACGGCAAGTTGAGGACCTTTCCGTTAGCTTCGGGGACGTCCGGATTCCGTCCGAGCTGATGTCGTGCCCGAGGTACTTGCATTTCTTGACCCCGAACTCACTCTTTGGGAGGCTCACCGAAATGTTCCAGTACCGCAGTCGGTACAGGATGGCATTCAGTGTTTTGCACAGGTCATCCCAGGACGGAGCTCCGTAGATAATGTCGTCAATGTACGAACTCCGGGACAGCACAGGTCCCATCTGTTCCGGGGCAACCCGAACACGGTGTCAGTGCTGGTCCTGGAGACCACCGCCCCCCGGGGCTCCGTGCCCTGGGATACCGGGGCGTCCGAGTCCTCGGGAGAAATCTCCAAGAACTCTAACACCTCCGGGTCGACAAGCCGTTCTTCTTCCGGGGGTAGCCGTACAAAACCCCAGAGACAATTATCCAAAAGCTGTTGGTAGATCAGTGGGGCGTTCTTCAGCCCGAACGGCATGCGCTTCCACTGAAAGTGTCCGAGCGGGCAAATGAAGGCCGAGATCAGCTGAGCTCGGGCTGTCATTGGAACCGCCCAGAACCCGCTCGCTCCAGAGTCATGAACCACATAGTGGCGGCGAAGTTGCTCATGAGTTCGTCGATTAGGGGTAGGGGGTAGTTCATCAGCTTGATCAGCTGGTTCACCAACCTGTAGTCGATGCACAAGCGGACATCGGTACCGTTCTTTTTCATCACGAGGACGATGGCCGATGCCCACTCCTAGTCAGAGTACTCGATCAAACCTGTTTCCAGGAGACGCTTGAGCAACTCGTACACCTTGGACAGTAAGTCGGAGGGATCCTCCGGGACCGCATAGAAATGGGTTTTGCGTTCCCGACCTCCAAGTCGCACACCACGCCCCGGGCGGGTGGGGGAAGTGCATTCCCTTCTCCCAAGAAAATCATACGATGCTTCCGGAGGACGGCCCGGAGCCGCTCCTCCTCTTCGGGGTCCGACTCCCCGGGCTCACCGACGATCGCATCTTCGATGTTAGCCTCGGGCCGGAGATCGCTGAGGTCGGGGAGATACGCCAGCTGGTTCTTGAGCATGTCTAAGAGCACGAATTCGGAACCTTGGTGATAATAGACTGCGGGCCCCGCGTCGAGACTTTCCCCAGCCATCGCCACCATAACGAACGACCGGACCAATGCGACTTGGGCGACCATGGGTGCGGACTCGGGGGACTCCTGGACGGGTTCCCAAGAGGCTGCGAGCGCTGGAGCGGGCCCGCCCCCCGAGGAAGCCTGGGCTTCGTGGTTCGAGGATCCACTCCTCGAGACCTGGGGACCGGGGTCAACTGGTTCTGGGGGAGTACAGAGACGGTCATGACGCGGTCAGCACCGGGCGCAGGAACGAGTGCAGTCGGGGGGTCGTAGGGCTTGGAACCGTTTCCAAACGGGAAGTCCGGGACCGACTTCCTCGACCATTCGCCCCCCCGATGGTTCCGG